GACACGTAGTAACGCAAATTTGCGCTTTGGCGCAAATTCGCGTATTTGCAGGTCGGAACTAAGTTTCTTGTGCGTTTTCATCTGTAGAGACAAGAATGTTTTCTGCATGAAGATCAGAATCCGAATACATCAGCATCTTGTGGCTACTTGGTATTCGGTTCGCTTCGTTTCTGCATGAAGATCAGAATCCGAATAGATCAGCATCTTGTGGCTGCTTGGTATTCGGTTCGCTTCCTCTCTATATGAGCTGAGATAACCTTCCCTTAAATCCCCGCCATCTGTTATCAGCTACCGCGCTCACTGACCGTAAATTGTGCTCGTGTGATTTCCGTTTGTACATCGCAGTCCGATACCTTCGTTTCTTCGTCACTACGTGGAAAATTATATATTAAATCTTGTCCGTCAAATCACAATAATTCTTATTAAATATTACAATAATTAACATTTAAAATATTTAAAATATTAAATGATGTTCTTTATCGAAATATTCGATTTACATTAGACCATCATTTGTTTTTTTCATGTTTCATGAAAAATGCATTATCAGAGTCCCGAGTTTGATTAAAAAAATATTGAAATAACCCTAGACTACATTTTCATGTATCAAACCAAGAAATAAAAGAGGAAAATTTATAAAATTTATAAAAGTTGGTAGCACTGGTCGGCTAGATTTGAAGTCTGAATCGTCCAGCACTAACAGGACGAAACTCTGAGGCTACCCTCGGCTGTAGATACCAGAGCCCTGTTAGAATTTTACGCACAGATGAACGTCAGATTTCCACATCAATCCATTGGCCCCCCAGCTATGTTAATATTGGCGACGTTCAGTTCACGTTAACGAAACTAATTTCTGTAAATGGCTGTTAATTAATTTGAACTCACACAAGAAAACTTCAAAGACACATGCCCGGTTTCAGACAATTAGCACAATTAATGAATAACAGCTCTGGAGTTGGGTTGAATCAATCAATCGATAGATGAGGGACGGAACTTTCTGAAACCCGAGAGTCGGTTAGTTGTAGGAGGTCTATATGACAAATTTTAGACCCTGCCTTAAATAGTATTTCTACAAACGCGGCGAGACTATAAAATCTCTAGATAAAACAGTTCGGTCAGTGTAATTTCATGTAATCTATAAAAATAAGTTGGCAGCCCTACTCTTTTACGACGCTTTTATAGTGGGTTTTGACGGCGTGTAGTCTTGTAGATACATACTAACGTTTCGGAGAAACTTATTGTCTCCATCTTCAGTCATGAAATGTTAAGGTTATGTCTGATAACGGTGATATATTCCAAAGTTTTCACCAAGATATGTAACAAAACATTTTTTTAACCTCTCCCTATAATCTCTGTGTAA